GGAATGATGCCACCAACTCTGTACTCTGAACCTTATGCTCGCTGGAGGTAAGGGTGGAACTGGATTGGGAAAGAAACAGACATGAGCCTTTTAGAAGCCAGACCCACAGCCTTTGATGATCTCAGCCTATTCTCCTTTTTCTTCCTTGTTAGCTTTGGTTAGTTAATATGGAGGGAAGATCAAGGTTCAGGAACCTCAGAGGCCAAAAAAAAAAAGGTCATTTTTCCACCTTCCTATTTACAGATGTTTCGGTCAGTCCCAGGCTAGGAGAAAGCCTTGAAGTTAAAATGGTGTAAATTAAAGCTGAAAGATCATCTGTAGTTAAGCCTTTCCCTGCCTCCCTCTACCATACACTATGGTTGCATGGGCAGAAGTCAAAACTCTCAGTACACAACCCCGCACATTCAGAACATGTGCATGATAACGACAGGAAGCTTCAATTGACAAAGTGATGGCTTCAGCATCTGTTTTTGGAGATGCCCGTATGGAGCAAATAGTTTGCATTCAACTACTGATCAAAAGGTTATGGCTTGGGCTCACCCGAGTGGCATCATGAAGAAAGGCTTGGTGATCTGCTTCCATAAAGATTACAGGCAGGAAAACCCTATGAAACAGTTCTTCTCTGTAACACATGGGGTCACCATAAGTTAGAATCAAGTTGATGGCAATGGGTTTCAAGAAGCACTTGGATAATTTCTTTCTTTCTTTTAAATAATGCTCTTTTAGGCCAAGTTGCTTATACACCTATGGGCATGTTTCCAATATCTTGGCTATTAAGGCTTTAAGTGACAGCTTAATATGTTTTTAAGACTGAGGGAGCCAACAACAATTCTCGAAGAGCTGTGTTTACATTGGATCAGATCGCCTAGGCACTGTGCCAATGTTTTTGTACGCTGCAGGAATTGGAGGTGAAAGCAGGAAGGGCTGAGTACAGAGGGAAGGACTAACTTGGAGGACAGGAAAGCCAAGAAGGACATGATGTGACGGGTGGAGAGACGCCAGCTGAATCTGGCAATGCACTTAGAAGTACCAATGTGTAATGCTTCTTAGATACCATGTTGCGGGGTGAGAAAGAGAACCCTCTGGAGCCCATCCACTGGTACAGGGATAGTCAACAGTGAGTGTACTTTCAGATCTCTTTGTTCCAGCCCTTTATAAATTCCTGAAAATGACTCCTCAGCAGCCAAGGGCCTCATAAGCTTTGATGTACATTCTCAGCAGCCTGGGTAAAGAGCTCGACCTTTCTGGGCCTCAGTTTCCTTAGCTAAAAAGTGAGAAATGCTCAGTCTCCTTCTAGGTCTGAAGTTTTACGTCTCTATGGTGACTTGCTCAATAACTGATGATCCATTTTCAGAAAGAAAAACCCTGTGTAAGTGGATCTGTTGGGCTGGAATGAAGACAAGATGGGTCGTTAACTCATCAAGGCTGAGCAACTGGCTTAGGTTCAGCTGGATAGAAGTTAGATACCCTTCAGGTGGGACAGCCATAAATAAAAGGGTTTCCTTTCTGCTCCAAATGATCCCTTTCAGCATTCATACATCCATTGAAATTTATCACAACCACAATAATGATGGTAAACTTCTACTGAATGCTCACGCTCTCTATATACATCATCTCATCTAATTATCACAACTACCATGAGAGGCAGGCACTACTGTTGTCTCCCCAATTTGCAGATGAAGGCACAGACTTAAAGTTAATTAGCTTGTCAAAGAGCACACATCTAGAAAGTGCTAGAGTTGAGATTTGAACCCAGGCCTGGGACCAAAGCATGTACTAGTAACCAGTATTCTTAAATATATTTAATAAAATAATAAAAGAACGAATCCTCAATAGTGGTTGGCTCCACCAAGAGCAATGGCACTTGACCTTCAAGGCCGTCTGTTACCAAGTGATGTTGGCAGTCTCACCATTCTGCAGGGTACTCTCTGTACTAGGAATATTTCTCTTTCCCAGTAGAAAAACAAATGATGGGTCAAGAGTAGTGAGTGGGAGCATCTGACTCAGCACAGATGTGAGGAGGTGGGGAACAGTTTCTGAGCTCTGCCACTACATGCGTGACCCATGGTAAGTCCCTCAGCCTGTCTGGGGTAGATGATATCTAAGGCTACTCTAACTCTGACTCCAACTTTTGGATTTTATGTTCTCTCTTTAAAATCTTTTTATGACTTTGGAGCTGCTGAGGTTCACTGGCACTTCCTTCCCCTTGTGGGCAGGGCAGTGGAGACAACTTATAAGCCATTTTAAACCATTCTCATTCTGTAAATAGGTCCCTTGCAGCTCTGAGAGTCTATAAAATTGTTTCAAAATGTCTAAGTGTGATTATGCATTCTGAAGCCAAACATTATAAAAACCCTACTGTTGCAGATTGAAAAAGTAAATATGTAATAAAGCTTTGCAGCATACTGTTGATGACACAGTATTTAAACCACTCTCTTCAACAAAGAGAGCTTCTCCCCTATTCCTTTCCCTCCATGTTTTGAAATGAATACATTGGTCAACCTAAAAAGTGGCGATCTTCCTTCTGATTGTCACAGTCCCAAGAGGTAAAAAATATCCACCCTTTCATCTCTACCCACCACATTCTTTCTCTAAGCCTGTAATTGGATCTAAATGGAAAATAAACCCTTTTGCAGGCCAAAGAAGTTGGCACTATAAGGTGACAAAAAGAAGAACATGTTCCATTAGAACCCCTAATCTAGATAATCGCACTCTCCTATGTAAAGGAAAAGAAAAACAAGGCTTCTTGTAAGCAGGAGCCCCCAACTTGCTGTGAGGAGCAGTGGTTGACACACACCCTATCCCACTTCACACATTAACCATCCATCATCTTGTAGTATAAATACCCAGAAAGTTTTTTGCTTTTCAGAAGATGGTAGGATTCTGCTATGTTAGCCCTGAACTCTCTTACCTCAACTGAATTTGGGGAGGCAGTTTAGATACACAAATATCCCAGCACTACTAGTTGCTATTGTTGTTGTTTTTATGTGCCATCAAGTCGGGCTCGACTCATAGCAACCCTTCCTTGGGTTTCTGAGGTAGTATCCCTATGGAAGGAAGGTTGGGCAATCCTACTTCCATAGTGATACTGCCTCGGAAACCCAAGGAGGGGTCGCTATGAGTCGGGGCTGACTCGACGGCAAACAACAACAACACAACAACAATCCCTATGGAAGCAGATTGCCCAACCTTCCTTCTGAGGAGTGGCTAGTGGGTTTGAACCACCAGCCTTCTGGTTAGCAGTCAAGTGCCTTAGGCACTATGCTACCAGTTAGAAAATAATAATGTATAAAATGTACTATATGTAAATGCTGTGCTCTTAGCCGAACGGGTAAATGCGGTTTAAGAGCTTTTTGAGTTTTGCTGTGTATGGTGTATTGTATGGAACAGAGATCAGCAAGAAAGGTATGTTCTCGAGTTCAGAAAGATGTGATGGAAGTAAGACCAGTGGGTGCATAGTTCACTATTTAGCAGAAATCAATATGTATTGCATAAAGTTCTAAAGGCTACAAAAACTCCATACAGCCAGAGATGACTTGATTCTGGCAGTAGTCTGGCAAATGCAAGTGGGCATGGTACAATCCAGAGATGCCCTGGTTCAATGTGACTTATTGTGCAGATTCAGAAGGGCATACTGTCCTCTTCATGTGGGGTCAATGTGAGAGCTCAGCTTTAAGTCAGGAATGCTCCACTTCCAAACAGTGGGCTCGCATTTTTATTTTAACTCTACTGTAGTCTTTTTAAAAAAAAACTGTGTTTAGTCTCTCATTTTATCCTATTGAATACAGATGTCTAAGGAGGATGTTGCCCTGAAAGAACAAATCTCCTAAAATAAGAGTTTATAAACTACTGATTTGGGAGAGTGAGCCACAGGGTCACCATCACTGTTACTGTTGCTGGGAAGGAGGGGGGGACTGTCATTCTACATTGTTGTTGTTAAGTGCCCTGGAGTTGGCCCCAACTCATAGCGACCCTTCTTGGGTTTCCGAGGGGGTATCACTACGAAAGTAGATTGCCCAACCTTCCTTCCGAGGAGTGGCTGGTGGGTTTGAACCGCCAGCCTTCTGGTTAGCAGTCAAATGCCTTAGGCACTACACTACCAGAGCTCCCTCATTCTACACCAGAAACAGGGAAATCAAGCCTCAGGAAAGTGACTTGGGCAGCACCGCACAGCTAGAAAGTAGCAGAGCCAGGGTTTGAACATGTACCTTCTAAAACTATCATTACACTTATTCTGAAACCTGCAGGAGCCAACTCTCTGTGACCCTGGGTCTCAGTTTCTCCACCTGTAAAAAGTGCTACCCTAGGTTGTTTCTCAACCTTTTTCCCAGTGACATGTCTTCTAAGACTCCAGCCTGTGTCCTCCCCAACTGCATTCAGGTGAGTGAGGAACATTGGAGCTACAGGGACAGCTGCAGGCCCCGGCTGTGGTTTATCCTGACCTTCTGGGCTCCCGGCCAGCCCTTCTTGAAAGGGAAACGTGCAGACCCTGGGGGCAGAAATTAGTTCCCTTGTGCTGCAACTGCTGCCACTGCCAATATCATCAACTAATGAAGCTATTCTGTGTGGGTGTGTATGGGTGTCTTTGGAGGTAAAACAAAGCAAAAACGCAAACTAAGCCGGGAAAATCCTACTAGGATGAAAGCAAAAGGGGAAATTCCTTGTAGGTAAATAATACTCCCTACAACTCCTACTTCAACCACAGGAGATGGCAGGGAGAGAGGTAGCTAGGGATTTATTTTCCCCTACAGACCGTAGGATTACCAAAAAAAAAAAAAAAAAAAAATTATTCTAATTAAATTTTAATTAGCATTACCAAGTAAATCACCAATGAGAGTACTTTACAGCAGCTTTTAAGAGATTTTAGGATGTGTATCTGATAACTCAAAAATTTATTCCTGTTTCCTTTTCTGTGAATTCTTGGAATTTAATGACTTTTCCCTGGTTGGGAGACGAAAACTGAGTGAAAGAATCTGGGTAAATATTGCATCTCAGCTCACCTTTTGAATTCCGGGGTTGAGGTCCTTAGTCACCTTTGCCATCTTCTTCTGGACTGGAGAAATAGCGCCTGGCTTCACTGGCAGAGGCGCGTGGCCGCGCAGCGGGACCGCAGCGACTGGATGGCCAAGTTCGCGGGCCTCAGGGGGAGCTCTGAGCTCCGCCGGACGCGTCCTGCCCTCTTTAATTGGAGAGCGGTACTCCCTCTAAAATTCTCCAGCCAATCCGAGCGGGCGCTCGCACTTGGTCAGCCAATCCTAGGGTGAGGCCCGCCCCCATCCCTTGGGGTGGCTCTGCCTCCAGCTCAGCGCAGCGCTGCCCTGACGTCAGTGCGGCCGCGGCCCCTACCCGGGGCGGCTCGCATCTGTCCCTCTGCAAGCGGCAAGAATCCATCCCCACGCCCTTCTCCTTTAAAGGAAAGGGACAGAGGGTGGGGCGCGTTACTCAGTGGCCGCACTCCATTCAGGTCAAAAGGGAGAGTGATCAAACAGGAAGTCTAGGGTATTTTTGGTGAGCTGGGTCCAAAAATAAATCCTGAGCTGAGTTCCCCTGCCCACTCTTTCTTCTATGTCTTAAGGGGGCGGGGGAGAGTGATGAGGCAGGTGGCTAATGGTAGTGTTGACTCAGCCAGCTAACCTCCCAAATCTGAGCAAGTTCTCTAGAAGCTGGAGAGGATATGCAATTCCTGGAGATGAGGATGTGTTAACTGAATTGGAGGAGGCTTTAAAGAGGAAAAATGTCCCAATAAGAAAGCCCTAAAATACGACTTACAGTCCCTCTCCTGCCCCAAATAAGGACCAGTGAGTTATCCCAGTGTTAGGACTTTTTACTGGAAGTTTGTGAAGTATTCAACTGCCTTCTCATAATTTGATTTAACGTAAGTCTTTCCAGTTGAGTGAGGAAGAGAATACCATCCTGATTTTACAGATGCCAAGATGTGCATGGTCAGTCCAGTGGACTACCACTTAGCTGTTCACACACATTTTCTCATTTCTCTCACACAGTCGCTCATAATCACCTCATTTTTGTTGTTGTTAGGTGCCATAGAGTCAGCTCCAACTCATAGTGACACCATGTACAACAGAACAAAACACTGGTTGTGCACCATATTCACAATCCTTGCTATACCTGAGCCCATTGTTGCAGCCACTGTGTCAGTCCATCTCATTGAGAGCCTTCCCCTTTATCGCTGACCCTCCACTTTACCAAGCATGATATCCTCCAGGGAATAGTCCCTTCTGACAACATAACCAAAGTAGGTGAGACGAAGTCTGGCCATTCTCGCTTCCAAGGAGCATTCTGGCTGCATTTCTTCTAGGACAGATTTGTTCTTTCTGGCAGTCCATGGTACTTTCAGTATTCTTCTCCAAAACCACAACTCAAAAGCATCAACTTTGTGTTAGCTGTCATTGAATTCATCCCCAACACATGGTGCCTCTATTTACAACAAAATAAAACATCGTCCTGTATCCCTCCATCCCCATAATTAGCTTCTTAGCAAACCATTGGGATCCGCAGGGTTTTCACTGGCTGATTTTGAGAAGTATATCACCAGACCTTTCTTCCTAATCCATCTTAGTTTGGAAGTTCTCTGAAACCTGTTCAACATCAGAGGAACATGCAAACATCCACTGACAGCTGAATGGTGGCTGCACATGAGATGCACTAGCTAGAATTGAACCCAGGGCTCCTGCATGGAAGGCAAGAATTTCCCATTGAACCACTACTGCCCCCTGAGGAAGGGAACACTATCCTGATTTTATAGATGCCAAACCAAAAGACCAAACGCACTGCCGTTTAGTTGGATCCTACTCAGCAACCCCCTCCTTGGGTTTCTGAGGTGGTATCGCTACGGAAGTAGATCGCCCAGTCTACCTTCTGAAGAGTGGCTGGTGGGTTTGAACCACTAGCCCTTTGGTTAGCAGTCAAATGCCTTAGGCACTATGCCACGAGATCTCATTATAGATGCCAAGATCTACATTATTCACTCCTATAGACCAGCTAGTAAGCTCTTCACATTGATTTCTCTCACATAATCCTTGATAATCATCTCAGGTATTATTATTATTGCTCCTGTTTTATAGATGAAGGGATAAAATCAGAGACAGTCACTGCCCCAAAGTTGAACTCCTCAGAAAGGCTTTACACCTGAGAGAGTAAGAGCAAGAACTCATCTGGGGAGAAGAGGCACACCTTAAGAAGGTAGGAAATGAGCATTTGTAAGATAAATTGGGTCACACACCTGTGGACTTCTCATATCCTTGGGATGAAGTGTGCTTGCAACATCTGACATAACTACTTGTGTAAGGAAGTTGGCCAGGCCTTCATTTGCTATACTGGGCAGTTGGCCTATAAATCTGCACCTTGGTTTTGATGCAGTTCCACAGACCTGGGTTCCCAGAGGCATTTTGTTTTTCCTGCCCAGACAGAGGTTTAACACAAGCCCCATTTATCCTGAGGAGAGTACTACTCTGTGTGCCCTGAGACATTTGTCTTATAATCCAAGCTGGCAGGGCCCTCTGCCATATACCAGGGCTCAGGTGAGCTAAAATAAAAACTTGGTGGTGAGAAGACTAAAGAGTGGTCTTGAATACATCATTTTGTACTGATGGAGAGAGAGGTGAGAGTCACGTACTATAACTTTCTTTTCAGAGGCTTTTTTTCTCTCTCAAATCTTCTGCAGTTTAGTTCTTAATACATCATCATCTCCAACAATCTCAAATTTTAACTCACAATCATGATTCTTTTCTCACATTTCTAGGAAGGGCTTTTGCTTTTTGATTCCCCCTTTCTGAGACAAAGGATAGCCCTTTTCCTCTTTCTTGGATTTCTGCTATAATGTTCATCTTGCTTCAAGCTATATCCTCAATACCTAGCATGTGACAGATGCTCAGTATCCATTTGTTGAATGAATGAATGTTGAGTTCTGACTTTTAATCAGCAAGGAGCTGGCAAAATAAGTGTAGGAGTTTCCTAGGGCTGCTGTAACAAAGAGACCACAAACTGGGTGGCTTATAAGAACAGAACTTTATCTTCTCATAGTTCTGAAGGCTGGGAGTCTGAGATCAGGATGTTGTTAATTCTTTCTGACCGTTTTGATGGAGGATCTTTTCCCTATCTCCTTCTTTTCTAGCTTCTGGTGGCTGCAGGTGCTCCATGGCTTGTAGCTGCAGCATCTCACATAGTATTCTTCCCTCTGCCTCCCTGTTTCTATGTTCTCTTTTATAAGGACATGAGTCATATAAGATTAAGACCTACTCTACTCCAGTATGACCTCTTGTTAACCTAACTGATAACATCTTCAAAAACTCTTATTTCCAAACAAGGCCATGTTCACAGGTACTGGGGTTAAGACTTCAACATGTCTTTTTTTTTTTGGGGGGGGGTGCAATTAAACCCACAGCAGGGGGATAGGCGGAGATGGAATAATGAATGCTACATCTTGCCCAGGTTGCTCATATTCCCAGTTGGGCTGCATGATAAAGCAGTATTTAAATGGATAATGGCCAACAGAAGCCAGGATTGGGAGAGGTTTCCAGGTGAAGAGCCCTGTTAGTAGCAAATCCTAGGAACAATACAGTGCTAAACTCAGATGCTGTGCCAGAAAGCTTTATACTTTAGAGCTGTGGGAACAGAGGCCAGGAGAATAACAAAGGCAAGCTTTATTACTTTCAAACTCAGCAAAAGCCTTCACGGTGAAGTCATTTCCCACTCTTCTCAGCCACCCTCCTTGCCTCATCTTGAGAAATCATTATTCCCCTGATTAATCCTAACTTTATTAACTGTTACACTCTTTAGCTCTAACCACGGGTTCCCATATTCCTCTCATTTTTACCCTTAGCCCCAGGTAAAATTAAGGAGGCAGATGTTTGACAGTTTCTAACAATGTGAGAAAGCAACTGGAACTTGGAGTGGCCCATTTCCTCCTTTCTGGACAAGGACCTGAGGTGATCTCCCCTCCTTGCTTTCTCTTCTTGTAGCTGAGGCTGCTGACTCCAACCCATTAAACTCTAATCTAGACCCAAACATTCTGGTGGCCTGTAGTCAGAGACTTGACAGAACATCTGAGCCCACCTACCAAATCCATTGCCATTGAGTTGATCCTAACTCATAGTGACCCTACAGGACAGGGTACACCTGTCCCATAGAGCTTCCAAGGCTATAAATCTTTGTGGAAGCTAAGTGCCTCATCTTTCTTCCATGGAGCAGCTGGTAGTTGCAAACAACTGACCTTTTGGTTAGCAGCTGAATGCCTTAACCACTATGCCACAAGAGCTCTGTGAACATCTGGGCAGACAATTACAAATGACATTGTTTTGGAAAACAGAGAAAATCTAGTCATTGCCCCTAGCCTCACTCCAGCTCTGTGGTCCCCTTAGCCACTCCAGAAGGAAATGGGGTATCTTTTCCAGAGTGGTACATCAGAGAGATATGGTTTTCCCAAAGTTCATTGCTTTCTGGTAGTGGGTCTTGTTAGATGTGGGTTAGTCTTTGAGCTAAGGATATGATGGTGAATAAATCAGCGAAGGCCCCTTCCCTCACACAGCTTCTATTCTAGTGGAGTAAGTGACAAGTATTAATCAAGTGAACAAATAATTAGATAAGATGATTAAAGATGGCAATGAGTGCTGAGGAGGAAATAAACACAAGGATGAGGGAGAGGGTCCCTGGATTCAACTCCTTTCACTCAGGTGGCCTAGGGAGGCTTTACTGAGGAGGTGACAGTGGAGCTAAAGAAGAGAATGAGTCAGCTCTGAGGAGAGTCACAATAGAAAGGACATTCCTGGAGGGTGGAGTCACAAGAACAAGGGTCCTGAGGTAAGGGCAGCACTTGGTATGTCTGAGAGAGCAGGAAAGTCAGTGTGACTGAAGGGTAGTGAGAAACAGGGAGGATGGCATGAAGTGACTGAGAGTGGTAGGCAGAGATCAGATCACATTAAACACTGTAAACCACACTTAAACCAGAGTTTAATTTGTGTTCTGAGAACAATGAGAAGTTGTAAATCAACTGAAATACAATGTGAGCCATGGACGTAATTTTAAATTCATATTTTTTGTTATTGGGTGCTGTTGTCTTGATTTTGACTCGTGGCAGCTTCCTGTGACAGAGTAGAACTGCCCCAT